GACCGAAAACCAAACACTGCATGTCCTCACTCATAGGTGGGAATTTGAACAATGAGAACACTTGGACTCAGGGCAGGGAACATCACACACTGTGGCCTGTCATGGGGTGGGGAACTCAGGGAGGGATAGCATTAGGAGAAATACCTAATGTAAATGACAAGTTGATGGGTGCAGCAAACCAACATGGCACATGTATACCTGTGTAACAAACCTGCACGTTGTGCACATGCACCCTAGAACTTAAAGTATAATAAAAAAGAAAAAAGAAAAAGAAAAACCCTCATGAAAATCTTAGGTATAAACTTCATAAAATATGTGCAATGACTATACTGAGAACTATAAAACAAGGATGAAATAAAGATTTAAATAAAGAGAGAGGTATACTATGTTTATGGATTGGAGTACTCAACATTGTTAAGATGGCCTGTTCTTCCCCAAACGATCTATAGCTTCAATGCAGTTCCAATGAAAATCCTACAAGACTTTTGTAGATAAAAACAAGCCAATTCTAAAATTTATAGGAAAGAATAAGGGGACTAGAATTAACTGCCCTCCCAACCCAAATGGTGAAAAAGATGAACAATGCAGTTGGTGGGCCATACTGTCTGATATCAAAACTAACTGTAAAGTTAGGGTAATCAAGACAGTGTAGTATTGGTGAATTGGTAGATAAATAGATGAGTGGAACAGCATAGAGTTAAAAATAGACACACATTTACCAGTTGATTTTCTACAATAGTGCAAAGACAATTCAATGGTAAAGGGATAGGCTTTTCTTAAAGATCTATTTTTTTAAGCAAGTTTGACCTATACCTCATACCATATGCAAAAATTAACTCTAAATGGATAATAAATGTAAACTTATAAGCTATAAATGTAAACTTCTAAGCTATAAATGTAAACTTATAAGCTATAAATGTAAACTTATAAGCTATAACCTGTTTTGTGGTACTTTTCAAAATCATGTATTAAATTTGTAGACACACACAAGGATATGTTTCTCAGCCATTTATCGTCTAGTTTTTTTGTACATGTTTTTTATAGTAATGCCATAATACTGTAATAACTATCATTTTGTCATATGGCTTTATGTTGGGTGAGACAAGTTCTCCCTCATTACTCTTATTTTGCTTTTTTACTTGAAAAGTCTATGCAATCCAACTCATTCTTCATTAGTCATCTGAATCGACTTTTCACTAGTATCATCAATGATATATTTACCAAACGAGTCTTTGCCTATTAGACCCCTGTGTAGCATTTGACATCATGATTACTCTTTCTTTGAAATTCTCCCCAAATGTGTACATAACATTTGTATTAGTCAGCTTGGGCTGCCATTGCAAAATACCTTAAACTCTCTTAAACAACATAAATTAATTTTCTTACAGTTCTGGAGTCTAGAAGTACAAGATCAGGTTGCCAGCATGGCCAGGTTTTGGTGAGGGCTCCTTGCCTGGCTTGTAGAAGGCCACCTTCTCTCTGTGTCCTCACGTGGGGGAGAGAAAGCTTTGGTATCTCTTATAAGGACACTAGTTCTGTTGGATCAGGGCTCTACCCGTAGGACCTCATGTAATCTTAATTACCTCCTTAAAGGCCCTATCTCCAATACAGTCAAATAGCAGATAAGGGCTTCAACATATGAAGTTGATGGTGGGACACAATTCAGTCCATGGCAATATTATTTTCATATTTATTTTATTGTATTGTAACTGTTTTGCTATCTCACTCCACTAGACTTTTGAGCTCCTTAAGGGTGGGGATTATATCTAATTTATTTGTATATCTCTAATACTTGATACATAATAAGGCACCCAATAAACATTTAAAATGAATAATGAGATGACATAATTCAGCTTGTGTTCCCCTGTCTTAGGTAATGGTATTACCATGTATCTGTCTTCCTAGGTTGTAAATCTCAGTCATTGTTTACTTTTCCCTTTTATACACCCTGTGTTCAACTATATCCCTAGTACTAAGACTTTGACTTTCTAAAGGTCTTTCAAATCTATCCCTACTCCGGCTCCAGGGCTACATCTTTCCTATCATTATGTGTCAGATTGTTTTCATTGCCTCTTAACAGGATGTCTTAGTCAGTTGAGTGTTGCCATAAAGGAATACCTGAGGCTAGGTAACTTAGGAGGAAAAGAGGTTTGTTTGGCTCACAGTTCTGCTGGCTGGAAGGTGGGCATCTGGTGAAAGCCTCAATCCTCTTCCACTCATGGCAGAAGGCAAATGGGAGTTGGCATGTGCTGAGATTACATGGAGAGAGGAAGCAAGAGAGTGGAGGGAGGTGCCAGGCTGTTTTTAACAAGCAGTTTTGTGGGAACTAATGGGTAAGTACTCACTCTTCCTCCCCAGGGAGGGCATTAATCTAGTCTTGAGGAATCTGCCTCCATGACCCAAACACTTGCCATTAGACCCCACCTCCAACATTGGGGATCAACTTTCAACATGAGGTGTCGGGGGACAAATACGTAAACTACCGCACAGGATTTCTGGTTTCCAGTTTGGCCCATCCAATCCATACTTTGCCGCGAGATCAACTTTTCTAAAATGGCTGTCTAATCATATCACTACCTTTTAGTAACTTTCCATAGCTTAAGACTAACATCCTGAACTCTTACCCTGTCACAGTCTTTTGTGATCTGGCCTCTGCCTACTTAATTACCTCACAACTTCCCGATGTATTCATTATGCTCCAGCCTTAGTAATTCACCTACAGTTTTATAAATATATGATCCCATTTCATGCTTCTGCACCTGTCCTTCCCTCTTCTTGGAATACTCTTTTCAACTTCTGTATCTTATGATTTTTAAAAGGTGCTTTTAAAAAGGACTCTCCAACCATGGGCCCTTCCTGACCTGTTTCAGGAGGAATTAACCTGGTCATCTTCAGTCTTCCAATACAGTTTGTAGAAATCTGATTTTAGTGTATTGTAATTATTTGTAATTGTATTTATCATCCATACTAAATGATAAACTCTTGGAGGTTGGAGACCACATATAGTTGATTTTTATATTCTCAAATCGAACACACAGTAGGTACTCAATAAATGTTTGCTGAATGAATGAATAAATTAAATATATAGCTTTAATGTTAAAAGTGAATATTTTATTTATTCAACAACCACTGTGTGCTGGGCACTGTGCTAGATGCTGGAGCAAAGGAGAATTATGGCATGTATGTTACAATAATTGGCATTCTTTTCTTTTTGGAGACGGAGTTTCACTTTGTCACCAAGGCTTGAGTGCAGTGGCTCGATCTCGGCTCACTGTAATCTCTGCCTCCCAGGTTCAAGCGATTCTCCTGCCTCAGCCTCCCGAGTAGCTGGAACTACAGGCACACGCCACCACGCCTGGCTAATTTTTTATATTTTAGTAGAGACGGGGTTTCACCATGTTGCCCAGGCTGGTCTTGAACTCCTGAGCTCAGGCAGTCCGCCCACTTTGACCTCCCAAAGTGCTAGGATTACAGGCGTGAGCCACCGCGCCTGGCCAATTGGCATTCTTTGAAGAAAAACTCTGAAAACAGACTGAATGCCATTTCTGTACAAAGAGGTGAAGTTCCTTTGTCTTTTTCCCTTCTATTAATTCATCCTTCATATTCCTTATTTGAAACCCCCTCCCAGAACTACTGTTCTGTGGCTGCAAATCTGACTACCTAGAGTAAGTTAAGAGGAAGATCAGTATAGGTGGAATAGCAGGAGATATTTTAGTAACAGTGTAGTTATTAGTTTTTGATAAAAGTTTCTGATTTGTCATTTCTCCTATGAAAGTCATAATTACAAGGACTCATATTTTTCCAAAAGTACCTTTTTAAAAGATAGAGACAGTCCAGGTGCAGTGGCCCATGCCCGTAATCCCAATAGTTTGGGAGGCCAAGGTGGGTGGATTACTTGAGGCAGGGAGTTCAAGACCAGCCTGGCCAACATGGCAAAACCTTGTCTCTACTAAAAATACAAAAATTAGCTGGGTGTGGTGGCACACACCTGTTATCCCAGCTACTTGAGAGGCTGAGGCACAAGAATGACTTAAACCCGGGAGGTGGAGGTTGCAGTGAGCTGAGATTGTGCCACTGCACTCTAGCCTGGGCGATAGAGCGAGACTCTGTCTTTTTTTTTTTTTTTTGCTGGGGGGACGGAGTGTCGCTCTATCACCCAGGCTGGAGTGCAGTGTCGCCATCTCGGCTCACTGCAACCTCCACCTCTCGGGTTCAAGCAGTTCTCTGCCTCAGCCTCCCAAGTAACTGGGATTACAAGCGTGCGCCACCACGCCCAGCTAACTTTTGTATTTTTAGTAGAGATGGGGTTTCACCATGTTGGCCAGGCTGTTCTTGAACTCCTGACCTCGTGATCCACCCGCGTCGGCCTCCCAAAGTGTTGGAAAATACAGGCGTTGAGTCACTGCACCTGGCGAGACCCTGTCTTTAAAAATAAAAACAAAACATTGTATCAAGAAACCTGTGTTAAAGACTATGGCATCAACACTATAAATCTTAAGTTGCTAAGGTTCTGTACCTCTTAGACTGGGAGCATGAGCCCCCTGGGATCTGAGTTTCTAAGGTTGCTTTGCTTCTGTGGTTCTTGTTCCTATCGACTTTTCTTTCTATGAGTTACATGAGTATTCTCTACTACGAACCCCCAAAACCTAAATATTGGCAGAGTCTACAGCTTCTGCTGTGTGTCTGCCCTCCCTGGCTGAAATCTTGCCATGCTTCTCTGTCCTTTTTTGATCTTTAGCAATGACACCTGTTTTATCAGTTGCTGTTCCCCTACTATGAGTGAGGAATGATCAGTCCTCGTGATAGCGTCCATGTCTGAAGCAAGTTGTGCTCGTGGTCCTAGGCAATCATAGCATATGGACATGGTGTTTGGCAAGGGTGTGAGAGCTGTGGGCTGTGACCTCAGGCAGCTTTGTTCTCCCGGAACATTTTGAATAACTGCAGATGGGTGGTTTGGAGCAAATGAATGTCCTAACCACAGAGTCTCTTTCTCATTGTAGAGTTGCCTCACTCACAGAGCTCTCCAACTGTCAGCAGCACCTGTACTAAAGTGCTCTATTTCACTGACCGGTCACTTACGCCCTTCATGGTCAATATACCAAAGAGGTGAGATTCTGGGATCATTATACTTCACTGTAAAGAAGGAAAGGAAGGCAGAACCTCATTAGTTATTGCCCATATGAGCAGCTGGAAGGTGTTTGAGAAGCAGTATAGTTAGATCTCACTTATAGTGAGATGAGCCAGAGAGATAGAGATTCTAGTTTCAGCTCTGCCACTATTCGGTGGTATTATAAAAGACAAGTCATGATCTACTACTAGGTACAGGTACAACAATAGCACTTCCAATCCTGATAACTATGCAAATATTGCTCTGCATTTGGAAAAAATCCTTTTTTTTTTTTTTTTTTTTTTAAGTGTTCAAAATAGCTCCTGCTGATACAATGGATTGCAGCCTGACACTCCAGGACTATGACTAATTGATCTTTGTTACTATTCAATGACTGCAACTAATCCCTATTGAGAAATTATGTTGAAAACCTTCCAAAAAGTTAATGTGCTTCCTTTTAAGGGAAATAGTTTTGAAATAAAAATATTTAAACTCTGCAACCAACTATTGAGAGAGATTATAGGATTTTCCTTACCTAGACAGTCTGCTTATTTGGTCTGGGTTAGACGCCAGCTTCCTAAAGAGAGAGGGATAAAGATGGTGATACTTGATTTGATTCTACCATCCTAGAGAATTGGGATATTGTAGCAAAGAAGAAAATCAAGAGAACTTTGATATGTTTATGGTTATTCAACAAATTTGATTTCAGGGACTTTATGTCTTATTTCCAGAGAAAAGTGATTTGGCTCCTGAAGCAATAAGTCAATTTTAAATTCTCACATCACCCCATATTTAATACTGTTTTCATTCCCTAGTGATGACAGGTTCTCCAGCCTCTGCTGTTTTAGTCATCTGGGTTATCAGGGGCAGTGACCTAATGAGGGGCTATTTCTGCTTATTGACTTTGGCAGGGGGCTGGGTTTAAAGTTAACATCTTATCTTTCCAGCTATTGATCAACAGTCTATTTTAGTGCTGTCTCTGTGTGTTGCAGGTTGGAGGACGTGACGCTAAAGGATTTTAAAGCAGCTATTGATCGGGAAGGGAATCACCGGTATCACTTCAAAGCACTGGATCCTGAGTTTGGCACTGTCAAAGAGGAGGTAAAGAATCTCTGGGGAGTCTGTATGGTATTGTTTCTTTCTGAACCCTGAAGCCTCCTGTTCAAGCACTGGTGTCCAGAAGTACATGAGTTCCCTGACCAGGTCGGAGGAATTTGCCAGAGCCTCAGACCATGGTCTGATTACCCTAGACAAGTGGTCATAGAATAGTCCAAGATGTTGATAGGTTCTTTAGTTGTAGGACTTCATCATTTGACTAAGAACTTGGATATAATTTTTATTTTAAATTATTTTGTTAGGGAAAATAAAGAACCTAAGACAATAAATAATTTTCCATCTGTAGCCAAATCTTAGAAAACTTCTTGCTTCCTATGTAGAGCAAAATAAACAGGCATGGATATATGGAACTGTGTATTTCTCATAATGAAATCAAGGAACTTCTAGGGAGTTACGTATGCTTATGCCCAAGTCCTTGAGTAAGTATTTTCTTAGCCTACGTGTCTCTTTATAATCCATTTGTCAAAGACATTTTGGGGGGAATACAGTTCTGGGTTATATAGTATTACAAGTGGATTCACTGCAGTTACAGAATGAAAAAAGTTATTATAGAAAAAGTAAAATTTTATTTTGTAAACATTTCCTCAGTGAAATGTTTTAATAACCCTGTTTTATTAGTGGCTTAGGAAATGAGTTGAATGAATTAATGAAAATAACTGCCATCTGAGAAATATGTTGAGTCTTTTTTCCCCACCCTTTCTTTATATTGCCTGGTACCTAAATTTTCCACTTTCTCATTTTTAAAATACTTACACTACTTCTTTTCTCTAAGAAGCCCAAAGTACTTTGTGATTGGTAATTTATTAATTCTTACAAATCTCTATAAGCAAAGTAGTATTAGGGATTTTTAAAAACCATTTCATAGGTCTGGATCTAAGAAAAAAATAAAATATCAGTTGCAGTTCTAGGGACAAGACCAAAGGGACACAGACTCTTAACTCAAGGCTTTCTTCTATATGTTCAAGGTCTTATTTTTATTAGCAGCAATTGTTTAGTGAGTGAGATTCCCTGTTTTTCCTTGTGGCTTTTTTTTTTTTCCTCTAGATTTTCCATGATGATGATGCCATCCCTGGATGGGAAGGGAAAATTGTAGCTTGGGTGGAAGAAGACCATGGAGAGAATTAATGCCAAGTATCAGACTGAGGGCTTATGGAACCTGGTCACTCCCTGGCTGCTTCACTCAGGAAAGGGAACTAAAACCAGAATACGCTAAGAAGTTTCTAGTTTGTATGCCAAAACAGAAGCTTCTCCAAGTATGATGGCCACAGGTCAGTCCTATTTCTGTGCCTGGCATATCTGGTACTTAAAATTCTGTCCAAATGTAGACCATGGGTTCATCTGGAGTTCCTTGTCCGTGGGAACACAGTGTACTATTCTACTCTGAGGACAACAAACCGAAGGCCTTAAACGATGGGGATGGATGATCCCGCCTCTATAGGGGCATGGCTGCTATTATCTGGAAACTAGGAATTGGATGCATCACTCCTGTGTGTTACAGTGTTATTTTAATTGGCCTCAATGGTTGCAGCAATCAGAGTCCCAGCGTTTGTACTCACAGACAAGGCAAAGGTACCAGCTTTTCTGTTTCTTTGAACCTACTGCAAACCAAGAATAACTCATGAGGTGGTACCAAAGATGAAAGCCCAGTCTTCAGTAATCTTTTGAACCGGACATGGATGGTGCTGAATTGTTGCTTGGATGGAAAAAGGGCTGCCCATATTGTGCTACACTATGCTAAAACTGTAATTTAGTAAGACCTTGGGCTGCCTCTTCTGTCTTAACTGGTTCTGCAGCTTGTCCTTTTGCCCACATAGGGCCTATTATGTACTGTTAGTTTTCTCTGGGGACTCTTTAACTTTAGAGCCATTTCTTTTTCTTCAAACTGATGAACTTTGTGTTTGAAAGGCCTAAGGAGTGAAAAGCTCCTTGAAAATCCAGGCGGGTATGGAAAGGTGCTGCTACCCATATCTTTTTGACTTTCTTTGTTTCATGACTTTAACTCATGGCATCTCCTTTGTAGTAAAAGGAGACAGACCATTAATTTCAGCATTTCTTTGTGATTTATAAGTACTGAGCATGAAGTACTTGTCTGCCCCTCCTCATTTCAAGGCCAGTTATTTTCTATTTATGTATTTAGTCTAGGCTGATCCTTTAGGGCACGATAGAAACCATGGGGCGTGGAGCATGAGTTGTGAATGGCAGGGATCATTCTGGGTAAAAAAAAACCTAGAATCATTTCTCATGTGCAACATTGTCAAGTGAAGAAGCTAACAGTTCAACTGCAGAGATTATTTGATAACCTGGGTTTTCTCATTCATCCATCAAGCACCATCAACCAATCAGCCATTATTATTTATATTATGTATTACCAAAAGCAGTATGTCTGCCTGTGACCTCCAATGTACACTGCCAAACACAAGAGTAGGACACATCCCTTCTGGGTTCTTGACCTGTCTGTCTCCAATTCATCTCCCCTTTTCACTCCCTGGCTCACTCAACAAACTACTCTTTAGAGCTCTGAGATGACATCTTGTTGTTTTATATAGATGTGTCTTTTAAAAATAGTTCATGTTTGGAGAATTCTTTTGTACTCATTTGCTTTTTGTCTGAGAACCATGTCTATTTTTATAACTGGAGTGTGAGTTCTGTATCTTCTCACATTCTGTATACTGTATCCATTTTCTAGAGAACCCAGTAGCTTTTATACAGTCTCTTCTTACCACCCCTTGTGGTTTCAGAACAAGCTTTATTTTATTACGAGTATACTAATGACAACTAATTCCTGTTCCAACTCTACCTGTTTTAGTTGTGAAGGTAGTTTTGTGTAATCCAGTTGATTGCTCCTCTGGCAGAGAGAAGGAGCTCAAAAGACACTTGATGTCTTTCATGTAAGTTTACCTGGTCTTTTCCTATTGAAGAATTTTTCATCAGAAACGATTGGGAAAGTTTGGGAAAGTCAGCCAAAAGAAAGAATTCATTTCGAAAGCAAACAGAAGAAAATAGTATATTCTCTCAGTTTTTCCCCAGGAAGTCTGGAGAAAAAGTCCTCATGTCACCAGTTTCTCTGTTGCATGAATTTTAGTGTTTTGCTATAAGACAGCATGAGGGCTATCAGGCCAAAATTCATTATTGTATTTCCAGTACAGTTTGTCTTGAATGTCTGTCTCTTAAACCAATTTTTACTTGTCAGTTTTCTCTCAGCAAACAGTCTTACTGTTACGTGGAATTTTAACTTTTCAGAGAAAATTTCCAAAGTACTCTACCTTATTTGGCTTTTATCTCTGTCTTTTGGAAAAGGAGCTGCATGGCCTCAGTGCCTCCATAACAAGCTAAAGTTGAGTTCATGGGAGAACACTGAGATCATTTTTTTCCCCTTTAGCTAGGTAATCTCATATACCACAGGTACATGACCAAGCATCTCTGCTAGAGGATGTACCTCTCATAACTCCTGTGTAAAATGAGGATCCTGTTGGTGATTTTCATTCCAGTTTCCAAAGCGAGAGGAGCCTTCTGAGCAGAAGTATGCAAGACTGATTCTGTTTGGAACAGTTTCCTATTTGGCTGCATTCTAGGAGGCCTCCTGACTCACTCATAGTATTGTGCCCTGGTGGCATTGGTGGGGTAGCTTGTCTTGCTACTTGCTAAAGCTCTATTTCTTTGAGAAAACTGAGCAACCAGAATGCTTAAGAGTTCATAAAATAATCTCTAAACCATGTTAGGTTAAAACAAAATGACCATCTCACAAAAACGAGTTTAGTTGAATGCTCAATTCCTTAAAAAATCTTCATTTAAGGCTGAGTGTGGTGGCTCATGCCTGTAATCCCAGCACTTTGGGAGGCCGACACAGGAAGACTGCTTGAGCCCAGGAGTTCAAGACCAACCTGGGCAACATAGCAAGACTCCATCTCTACCAAGAAATTTTATTACAAAAGTAGCTGGGGATGGTGGCACATACCTGTAGTCACAGCTACTCAGGAGGTTGAGGTGGGAAGATTGCTTGAGCACAGGAGTTTGAGTTTGCGTGAGCTAATCATGCCACTGCACTCTAGCCTAGGCTACAGAGCAGGACCCCATCTCCAAAAAAAAAAAAAAAAAAAAGTCATTTAAAAACTGAAGAATGTTCTCTTCTTGCTCAGTTCCCTAAATTAGCTGGGGAGATTGGGACACTTTACAATTTTTATATTTTTTAATTTGAAGAATTTGTTTTAAACTTACTTGGTAATGGCAATTCTACTTACCAACTTTTCAGCTCTTTTTGACCAGGATGGTTGCAAATTAGGGAAAATATCTTTATACTCTATATCCAATCCAAGAGGACTGTAATTACTTAAAAGCATTTAGGTCATAATTAAAATTATTTTCACTGTTTCCATAAAATAAGCATTATGATTGCACACTCATTCTGTCTGAATTTACGTAAGAGGTATAGCTTGCTTAAAATACATATATATGTAAAGTTATATTTTCTTAGAAACATGGATGTTTGCAGCCATTGCTTTCAAAGAGATTATTACTGTGTATTCTCCCTGTTTTACAATATGTTTTCATGAAGACTTTGTTACACCAGAGGCTTCTGATTATGAAAGTGATAACCAGTTTTAACTGCCAGTATGTACCAGATTTGTGAACTAATTTAAAAAACCATGAACTATGAATAAAATGGAGTTTGCAAACTAAATATCATTAATGATTTTCACTTGTGTTTATTGATGAGATTAATCAATAAAGCCATTTACATTTAGTGAAAACAAATTTCCTCAAGTGATCTCCCTGGTAGCATGTTTACTCACTATGTGGAGTGGAGATAAGGATTACTTTATTGCTACAGATATTTTACAATTAGTATTTCTGTGTAAGTACATAGGCTATTTCAAGGACAATTTATTTAGCAATTATTTTGAAATTATATGTAAACATGCAAACAAATAAGAACCCAAGAGTATAAACTCTATGACAAAAGTCATGTATGCAAACATTAAGAACTTTCAGAAATGTGTATTTAAAATGACCAGAATTCCCAAATCATTTGAAAGCTGCCTGTTAAATGCCTCTTATCACTTCAACTTAAATGTTTGCTATATTAAATTATTTATCCCTGAGTGCCTTTGACTTCCAATTATGTATTTTCAACTATTAATTTGCTATCCCATTATGTTAAAATTAAATATGTACATAACTCAAAATCTTTCACTACCAACTAATTTCTCTTTCTCAGTATCAGTGATACCACCATTCTCTAAGTCTCTCTACTTCAAACCTTTGAGTCTTGAGTCTCCTTTTCCATAATTTCCTTTATCCAATCTGTTTAGTAGAATTCAAGCTTGTTCTCTCAGGACTGATCTGACAAACCTAAACATTGCTAGCCCACCTCTGGTGTAAGCTTGCCATCTCTGGACTGTTTGAGCTATACGTTCCTATAATTTGGATACACTTAAGTCAAAACTATATTCAGGGCACAAACTCACTATTCTGTGAAAAATGCAAAACAGGGTTTAAGCAAGCATACCTAAGTGCACAGCAGATCCTGCAGATCACCTCATACTTTATACCAAAGGCTAATTTAGATCCAGTTATTGTCAGGCCTCTGAGCCCAAGCTAAGCCATCATATCCCCAGCGACCTGCACGTATACATCCAGATGGCCTAAAGCAACTGAAGGTCCACAGAAGTGAAAATAGCTTAACTGATGATATTCCACCATTGTGATTTGTTTCTGCCCCACCCTAACTGATCGATGTACTTTGTAATCTCCCCCACCCTTAAGAAGTTTCTTTGTAATTCTCCCCACCCTTGAGAATGCACTTGGTGAGCTTCACCCCCTGCCCCCAAACATTGCTCTTAACTCCACCGCCTATCCCAAAACCTGTAAGAACTCATGATAATCCCATCACCCTTGCTGACTCCTTTTTCGGACTCAGCCCACCTGCACCCAGGTGAGGTAGACAGCCTTGTTGCTCACACAAAGCCTGGTTGGTGATCTCTTCACATGAACGCGTAAACAGTTATTAAGTTCAAACGCAGCAAAAGCAGCAAGATGTTTTAGCCAACTCAAACATTTTTATAATAATTTGTAAGTCCTGGGCGGGCTTGTGGCTCACCCCTGTAATCTCAGCACTTTGGGAGGCCGAGGTGGGCGGATCACCTGAAGTCGGAGTTTGAGACCAGCCTTACTAACATGGTGAAACCCCCTATCTACTAAAAATACAAAATTAGCTCGGCATGGTGGCACGTACCTGTAGTCCCAGCACTCGAGAGGCTGAGGCAGGAGAATCACTTGAACCTGGGAGGTGGAGGTTGCAGTGAGTCAGGATCATGCCACTGCACTCCAGCCTGGGTGACAGTGAGACACCATCCCCAAATAATAGTAAAAATTTATAAGTCCTTTCACTAATTACAATTATTCTTCCATTGCTTCTTCCAATTGTTAATTCATAAGTTGCACATAATTGTAACAATATAATTGCCCTCCTCTTCATATTATTTCAAATAAGCCTTTTCATTTAATCCGGAAATTTTATATTTCTCAATTATATTGCTTACATACTATTCTGACAGGCAACTGTACCTGCTTAAACATTCCAATTTAAGTAGGCATGGAACAGTATATCCAATCTGTTTTACTTTTCCAAATTAATTGTTAGCAAGATTAGGATTTAAAAAAAAATTTTTTTTTTTAGAGATGGTTGTCTCACTATGCTGCCCAGGCCGGTCTCAAACTCTTGGGCTCAAGTGATTCCCCAACCTCAGCCTCTCAAGAATTGCTGGGACTACAGGCATGCACCACCGCTCCTGGCTAAAATCTTGTTTTAAACAATTTTTTTCCCTCCAACTTCTTCTTTTGTTCTTGGTGTTCTCTAACCATCTGTACACTGGGGAGGCGGTGATACACAGCATATGCTTCCTCCTTAATGTCACCTTCAGTTCAGAAACGATATGTTTCCTAATTAAAAGACAACTTTATAAGAGAAGCGTACCTAACAAAACGTCTAGGTGACTTTTTGTTCATTGATTCCAAAGACACAATCAGCCCCCGCTATTTAGTGGATACTAAGCTCTGGGGCTACCTGGAAGAACCACGCAGACACTCTTCCTGCCTTCAACAGCTTACAGTTAAGTTTTGGTAGCAAACATTTGAAACATAACGAAGCTTTTGGTTACTTAAAAGAATTCTATGGTGTTAGGGGGTAACACAAACCTGTTTTGTAAACCTATATCTTTATACAGGGAATATGCTTAATCTTGCTACAGTATACAGGAATGCGGGAATGTTTCTTCCTCTGGGCTGCCTTTCATACCACCTGGCTGGATGGAACACCTGTTCACTCCACTTTCCACTTGGGCTACAAACCTGAAATGAAATCTTTGCAACCAGTACAGCCTCCGCGGGGCGGGGCCCAGTCCTTCCCCCTTCGGATGCGCAGAAGCAGAGGTCACCGCGCTGGACCCCTCGATTTCCTAGCGGGCGGTTCCCGGCTCCTTCACCACCCCAGCGCTTCAAGACCCCCCGCCCTTTGGCCTGAGGCTCCCACTGCCCTAGCCAGTTCCCGGGCTCACTTCCAGCTTTTCCAGAAAGCTTGGCCACGCCCCTCGGCCCAGACTCTCAGGCCACTCGGCCGCAATTAACCCTCGTCTCTGTGCCTTTTTAGGCCCCTCCCTCTCAGTCGTGCCCTTCCTATGTCTTAGGCCCCGTCTCACCCTTTCGGATGCCTCCCCTAGGAACCTACCACTTTCCACCCCTTTCCGTCTGTTATTTGTCCCCAACCTGCGCCCGCATAGGCCCCTCTGGAACGCCCCTGCCGCGTGAGTGCCCCTCGTTCCCGCTCAGGAGAGGAAGAGCCTGCGTGCCGCGCATCTCTGGCCTGGGGAGCGGGTGGAGTAAACCTGCGGGCACCATTTTACGACAACGTGCGGCTGTGCGGCGTGGCTGACGGCAAAGCCGCGCTGCTGTTGGAGAGGTCACTCCGGAGACGGCGTTGGTGTTGGGGTGTGGGGGGTTGGTGGCACTATGTGGCGCGTCTGTGCGCGACGGGCCCAGAATGTAGCCCCATGGGCGGGACTCGAGGCTCGGTGGACGGTCTTGCAGGAGGTACCCGGAACTCCACGAGTGTCCTCGCGATTTGGCCCGGCTCCGGCTCGTCGCAGCAGCGCGACTACAGGGTATGGAGGGGTCCGGGCACTGTGCGGCTGGACCCCCAGCTCTAGGGCCACGCCGCGGAACCGCCTACTGCTGCAGCTTTTGGGGTCGCCTGGCCGCCGCTGTTACAGTCTTCCCCCGCATCAGAAGGTGAGCCCTAGATCCGCCCTTCTCGGATCCCCGTTGTCCTTCAGAGCTGACTGGATGCCTGTAGGATCCTCCTTGAGAGGCCTCATTGATCCTCCAACCATTCCCAGTATCTGCTTTCGTCCTTTGTCCAGTAGTCAGCTTTGGCTCTTTAGCTTCCCTCTCATGATCTATTCCGTTGAAAGGGGAACTTCTAGACTGGGGCTGTATCCAATTATCTGCCGAGGTTCATGCTTTGTGAGACCCGTAGGACTGTGGAGGAGAAAGCCTGTCACTGGAAATTACTAACTTCTCATGGGCAGGAACTGCCTTGGTATCCCTAGTTCCCAGTGTGTAATGGAACTGGATACACTTTGCATGAAATTGAATTGAATGAAATCTTAAGCCAGACTGAGAGTTAGGTAGCCCTTTAAAAATTTAATGTTTCTTCTTTTTCTCTTCCAGGTTCCATTGCCTTCTCTTTCCCCCACAATGCAGGCAGGCACCATAGCCCGTTGGGAAAAAAAAGAAGGGGACAAAATCAACGAAGGTGACCTAATTGCAGAAGTAAGTTGTTTTAAAATAACGGAGATGAGTTCGAAGAGACTGGCTTTGCCGAATTGGCTGAACATTGACTTTCTGGATGTGTAGTTACCCCTTTGTTTAAGAAACTGAAGTGTTTTTCACAACTTGATGTTAGACAAGATTGGTTGGATAAGTTGTCAGCAGCTGGCCAAACTGATACTTAGCCAAGGCGTTTCTAAAGTAATTTCTTCTTTCAAATCTGTCGTAGTGGCCTTATCGTCACATGAACTGTATCATTCTAGACACAGAGGCCAAGCTGGCCAACATGGTGAAACCCAGTCTCTGCTAAAAATACAAAAATCTGCTGGGCATGGCGGCCTGTGCCTGTAATCCTAGCTACTTGGTAGACTGAGGCAGGAGAATCGCTTGAACGTGGGACGGGGAGGTTGCAGTGAGCCGAGATTGCACCACTGCACTGCAGCCTTGGCGACAGAGTGAGACTCTCTGTCTCAAGAAAAAAAAATTCTAGACACAAGCTAATAAACTACATACCGACAGTATAAACCTGAGCTGCTGCTTTTTGTGTTAAAAGGTTGAAACTGATAAAGCCACTGTTGGATTTGAGAGCCTGGAGGAGTGTTATATGGCAAAGATACTTGTTGCTGAAGGTACCAGGGATGTTCCCATTGGAGCGATCATCTGTATCACAGTTGGCAAGTGAGTAGTGCACTCATAATTATGGAACTTCATTGCTTGGTGGAGTATTTTACCCAGAATTGAGAATTAGGAGTTAAAGACTATTTTTAAGACTACTTTTGTGAAAGTTGAATCTGCCCATTATATTTATGCATTCTTTCTCTTCCTTAGGCCTGAAGATATTGAGGCTTTTAAAAATTATACATTGGATTCCTCGCCAGCACCTACCCCACAGGCGACCCCAGCACCAACCCCTGCTGCCACTGCTTCACCACCTGTACCTTCTGCTCAGGCTCCTGGTAGCTCATATCCCCCTCACATGCAGGTGAGGCTCAGCCTTTGAGTGTTTGCTCTAGGTGATTTATTACTTACTTTTTTTCATAGATGGCTACTAGATCTTGGAAACTGACATTAAATGTGGTTAGTTAGGTCTTGTCATTTGGGAGTATATAGAAATTTAAACATGAAGATTGACAACTTTTCTTCCTAGTTGTTATTTCCAGTTGTAAGAACTTGAACAGTTCCTGTAACCTTTCTCAGCCTCAGTGTAGTACACAGGGTAATTCGTGGCACTTTTCATTCAAGAACATTACATTACAGATCTTGAGGATGATTTTTACTAACATCTATTGCTTGTATAATTAGAGTTTATAGTAGGCTGTGTTAGTCTGTTTTACTCTGGCATAAAGAAATACCTAGGGCTGGGTAATTTGTAAAGAAAAAAAGGTTTATTTAGCTCATGGTTCTGCAGGCTGTACAAGAAGCACGGTGCCAGCATCTGTTTCTCTTGTGGCCTCAGGAAGCTTACAATCATGGTGGAAGGTGGAAGGGAAAGGGGAAGGGTGGTGTGTTACATAATGAGAGAGGGTGCAAGAGACAGAGGGGAGTGGGTACCAGGCTCTTCAAAGCAATAAGATTTCCCCTTAACTCATTACCATGGGGCATGCACCAAGCCATTCATGAGGGATCCTCCTCCAACACCCAGACACCTCCCACCAGACCCCATCTCTAACACTGGGGATCATATTTCTTTTTTTTTTTTTCCACATAGAAAAAAATCTTTATTTACACAATCTTGGATTCTGAATTTCCGATACTTCCAGGGTCTCTTGATCAAATGGGGCAGCAGCAGGTAGGGAAGCAAACACAGGGGCCAGTCCGGATTATCTTACTCAAGAATACCACCAAGAAGAAGGGAAGGCCTAATTCAGTTTTGGTCTGGACCGCATCTCCTCACACTTTGAGATCACCACAGGTAGCTTGGGCTTATTGTTAGGGCCTGTGGGAACATTCTCAATCTTTCTCATCACTAGAAGTCCATCGATGAGTTTTCCAAACATTATATGCTTCCCATCCAGCCAATCGCACTTAGAGCAGGTGATAAAGAACTGACAGCCATTTGTACTGGAACCACTGTTTGCCACGGAAAGCAGGCCTGGAGCTGAGTGTCTTAAGTTTAAAATTTTTGTCTGCAAATGGCTCCTGGTAATTACTGGCGACTCCAATACCATTTCCAGTAACAAAATCTCCACCCTGAGTCATGAAATCCTTTATGACCCTGTGGAAAGAGCTTCCTTTGTATCCTCTTGGAACCCCGTCTTTTCTGAATTCTCTAGTGTAGAACTGCGCAAAGTTCTCGGCCATCTTAGGCACAACTCTGCAAAGAGCTTGATCTTTGTGCGGCCAACTTCCTGACTGCCATTGCTGACATCAAAGAACACCATGGGGTTAGCAGGGCTTGAATTTGCCACCACCATGCCTCCGACCTGGAAGCAGAAGTCGGGGATCGTATTTCAGCGTGAGATTTGGAGGGGACAAACATCCAAGCTGTATCATAGGTGTCAAGTGCTGTCTGTTGAATGAAAGTCCCCAATTGGTGTTCTTTTGACATGTGGTGATCTATTTTCCAAGAGTAGGTGAAGTAATCCAGTAGTATTAATAAATGAGAAAACTGATAAAAATTAAGTGTAAGATACACATATGTAATAGCGTTGCAACAAAGTTGAAGGCAGTGAATGTAATCACTGTTGATTGTGCTAACTAAATCAGTTTCTAAGAAACTAAGTCAATTTATTAGGTATTAGGGTTATCTTCTGTATATTTGTGTGCTTTAGATGTTACAAGTGGATAAAAATCCAGCCATCCTTTTCTAAATAATTCTGACTAGCATTTCTCCTGAATCTAGTTTATTTGTAGAAATTTTTGTATGGGAATCATTTTCTTCTTTGGAAATAATGTTCTACTCCATGGTTTGTTAGTAACAATCATTTAGGATTTTTGCCTGGTGTTCAGTTCACACATGTATTATATGCTGTTTGGCAGATTCTGTCTCATGATACAAGACTGACTTAATTTTCCTTTACTTTGTGTCTGTAGCTTTGTGTGCATGTGTTAGGGTTTTACCTTAATTATTCTTTAAGATACTGAATTGGATTCTGAATCTCTGATATTATTCTTTAAGATACTGTATAGAGATTATTGACTTCACTGTTTCTTAAGAAGCAGATGAAGATGGCAAATTCTGAACAAAAAAAGCACTTACAATTTTTTTTCTAAGACTTGTCTTAATTTTTTTCCCCTCTCTAGAAACATCTTCAATTGAAATTATTTTCCCCTCCACATAACCCTGTTGCTAATCAGATACAGAAGACAAAGAGGATAGCAAATGAATCCAAATTCAGTGGACACACAAGCCATATAAATAGTAAAGCAATTTTAAATTTAGATAGGCATTCTGATGTTTGGATTTTATTGGGGTGGAAATGGCTATTATAAAAACAGGGCTTTTTTTCCCCCTGGTTTTTTATTTTATTTTATTTTATTTATTTTATTTTATTTTATTTTATTTTATTTTATTTTATTTTGGAGACGGAGTCTGGCTCTGTTGCCCAGGCTGGAGTGCAGTGGCCGGATCTCAGCTCCCTGCAAGCCCCGCCTCCCGAGTTCACGCCATTCTCCTGCCTCAGCCTCCCGAGTAGCTGGGAGTACAGGCACCCGCCACCTCGCCCGGCTAATTTTTTTTGTATTTTAGTAGAGACGGGGTTTCACCGTGTTAGCCAGGATGGTCTCGATCTCCTGACCTCGTGATCCGCCCGTCTCGGCCTCCCAAAGTGCTGGGATTACAGGCTTGAGCCACCGTGCCCGGCCGGTTTTTTATTTTTATTTATTTATTTTTTTGAAACAGGGTCTCAGTCCATCACCTAGGCTGGAGTGCAGTGGTGTGATTTTGGCTCACTGCAACCTCTGCCTCCTGGGTTCAAGCAATTCTCCTGCCTCAGCCTCCCGAGTAGCTGGGAATACAGGCACACACCACCACGCCTGGCTGTTTTATTTTTTGAGACAGGATCTCACTGTTCACCCAGGCTGGAGTGCAGTAGTGCAATCTTAGCTCACTACCGCCTTGACCTGGGCTCAAGCCATCCTCCCACCTCAGCCTCGCAAGAAGCTGTGACTGCAGGCGCATGCCACCATGCCCAGCTAATCTTTTTTTTTTTTTAAGAGACGAGGTTACACCATGTTGCTCAGTCTGGTCGTGGACTCCTGGGCTCAAGTGATCCTCCTGCATCAGCCTACCAAAACGCTGAGATTGTAGGCATGAGCCATCATGCCTGGTCTTTCCTGGTTTGTTTTGTTTTTTTTTTTTTTTTGACACAGTCTTGCTCTGTCACCATGGCTGGAGTGTCGTGGCACGATCTTAGCTCACTTCAGCTTTTGCGATTCTCATGCCCCAGCCTCCTCAGTAGCTGGGACTACAGGCAGGTGTCACCAAGCCCAGCTAATTTTGGTATTTTTAGTAGAGGTGGGGTTTTGCCACGTTGGCCAGGCTGATCTTGAACTCCTGGCCTCAAGTGATCTGCCCCTCCCAAGTGATTCTTGGCCTCCCAAAGTGCTGGGATTACAGATGTGAGCAACTGTGCCTGGCCTCCTGTTTTATTTTTTAAAATGATCATTGCGCCACTGCACTCCAGGCTGGGCACCAGAGTAAGACTCCGTCTCAAAAAAAAAAAATTATCAAATAAAATTCTATGTAAGAATTCTATGTGTATATATTATATGCAACAAGTTCTGAAATATGTATATATTGTGGAATGGCTAAATTGAGCTAATTTATATATGCATTACTTTACAGACTTATCTTTTAGGACACTTAAAAATCTACAAGATTGTAGGAATTTACAAGAATACAATACATTGTTATTAACTGTTGTCACCAAAGAGCAGTTTTGTTTTTTTTTTATATGGAATGCTTCACGAATTTGTTTGTTGTCCTTGGCATGAGAGCCATGCTAATCTTTGTATCGTTCCAAGTTTAGTATATGTGTTGCTGAAGTGAGCACAGAACAGTTCTTAATATTATGGTTTTTTTTTTTTTTTTTTTTTTTTTTTTTTTTTTTTTTTTTTTTTTTTGAGAAGGAGTCTCGCTCTGTCGCCCAGGCTGGAGTGCAGTGGCCAGATCTCAGCTCACTGCAAGCTCCGCCTCCCGGGTTCAGGCCATTCTCCTGCCTCAGCCTCCCGAGTAGCTGGGACTACAGGCGCCCGCCACCGCGCCCGGCTAGTTTTTTGTATTTTTTTTAGTAGAGACAGGGTTTCACCATGTTAGCCAGGATGGTCTCGATCTCCTGACCTCGTGATCCGCCCGTCTCGGCCTCCCAAAGTGCTGGGATTACAGGCTTGAGCCACCACGCCCGGCCAATATTACGTTTTTATCTTGGAAAGATATCTGGGAAGGTTGGGACAAATGCAGTTTCCTGTGGGTAAAAAATAAGTAGATGCTAAGTACAGAGTGCAGTAAAATTTTAACAGAATGGATTGGACCAAAGTCATTTTGTGAAAATGAAAAACTTCTTGGTTAAAAAAAAAAAAGAAGTCTGGGTGTGGTGGCTCACGCCTGTAATCCCAGCACTTTGGGAGGCCAGGGCGGGCAGATTACTTGAGGACAGGTGTTCCGAGACCAACCTGGCCAGCATGGTAAAACCCCATCTCTACAAAAATACAAAAATTAGTGGTCATGGTGGCACCTGCCTGTAATCCCAGCTACTCGGGAGGCTGAGGCAGGAGAATCACTTGAATCCAGGAGGTGGAGGTTGCAGTGAGCCGAGATTGTGCCGTTGCACTCCAGCCTGGACGACAGAGTAAGACTCTGTCTCAAAATAAAAATAAATATAAAAATAAAAGTAGATGAAAAGATACTCCATACTTAGATATTGAGGAATTAATTTTGACTGTCTGAAAGAAATCTTTCCCATCTGCTTGTTGCATTTAACTTGGAGTGTGTGTCAGAGTATGGGTGAGAGTATAAGAGTATGGGTCAGAGTGAGATTTGAAGGATGATTTTCCTGGTGGGAAGCTATTGAGGTGCGAAGCTTTTGCCGTGATGAGTATTTGGATTATCATAGTCACCATCATTCTATGAAAACTATATAAACCTGCCAGACTGTTACTATGTAGAAGTCGTCCTGGTATTAAGCAATAATATGTGTATGTTTCTACAGGTACTTCTTCCTGCCCTCTCTCCCACCATGACCATGGGCACAGTTCAGAGATGGGAAAAAAAAGTGGGTGAGAAGCTAAGTGAAGGAGACTTATTGGCAGAGATAGAGACTGACAAAGCCACTATAGGTGAGATTTCTTCAGCTCTTAATGGTTGAGGCACTGAGTTTCCCAATGAGGAAGAGGATTGCCATTCTTTCCTATAATGAGTGAGTGAGATAATATGAAAACTTTTTAATTCTTAGGATTCATTTTCTGGGACAGAATATTTTATTTCTATTTAGTTATATTTATTCTTAAGTTCTTATTTATTTGTTTATTTGCTTATTTTTGAGACAGGGTCTTAATCTGTTGCCCAGGCTGGAGTGCAGTGGCAAGATCATAGCTCATTGTAGCCTCGAACTCCTGGGCTTACGCCCAAACGATCCTCCTGCTTTAACCTCCCGAGTAGCTAGGACTACAGGCCTGAACCACCACACTCAGCTGATTTTTAAAATTTTTTGTAGAGATAGGGTCTCACTTTGTTACCCAGGGTGGTTTTGAACTCCTGGCTCAAGCGATCCTCCTGCCTTGGCCTCCCAAAGTGCTGGGACTCCAAGCGTGAGCCCATGTTCCTGGCTGAGAATAATTTATAACAAAAATAATGTGTAGTCGGATTTGTCAGTTCCATCCTGCACTCATTGAATTAAAGGCAATAAATCTGTCAATTCACAGATTATTTTTAGGCCCAAGTTTGCTTCCTGGCCTTACTATGTTACTGAGAAGCTATATCAGAACTGCTGTTGTCTAAACTAGGCAAGGGAAGGCAAGAAGAAACAGCAGAAAATCACTTCCATGGCAGGATAATAGGAAAGAATTTAAGATGGCTTTGAGGGAAAACTGAAACCAGGGTTAAGATTGTTTTCATAGTTTGAGAATGACTGATAGAATGTACATGTGTAATATATATATATATTCAGAGATGTCATATGTCCATATATCTCCTTCTTAATTCATTTTTAGGCTAAAAAATAAAACCCATATAGACAGTCATATATTTATGATTTTTTTAAATGGATATTTGTAGGTATTATGAATTTCTTCTCTCTGCACCTTTTTTTTTTTTTTTTTTTTTTTGAGACAGAGTTTTGCTCTGTCACCCAGGCTTGGGTACAGTGGTGCGATCTCGGCTCACTGCAAGCTCTGCCTCCTGGGTTCAAGCAATTTTCCTGCCTCAGCCTCCCAAGTAACTGGGACTACAGGCATGCACCACAACACCTGGTTAATTTTTTGCATTTTTAGTAGGGACAGGGTTTCACCATGTTAGCCAGGCTGGTCTCGAGCTCCTTGACCTCAGGTGATCTGCCTGCCTTGGCCTCCCAAAGTGCTGAGATTACAGGCATAAGCCACCGCACCCGGACTAAAGGAAAGCCTTTCCCAAAGATGTAATGGGAGGTACTGGGCATCCTCTGCTGTGGTTGTTTTCAGATTGTGTTCTTCAAATCCCATCATTCCTTAAAGGCACCTTGGGCCAAAGGGGAAATTAAAGAGCAAGACCGTATAATGCCCTGCCTCCCTCCCTTACTTCCAGCAGAGCAGTTCTTTTTTATCTTTCTGTATTTTGTGCTTCCCCATAAATTTTATTTGAAGAAGGGATTCTGTTTCTTAAAAACACAGAAACTTTGGAAACAATAGTTCTGCTTCACCATTTAACTTGAATACCAGTGTCACTGTAGAGACTCGTCACTAGAGAAGTGTTACCTTGGTTGAACTTTGAAGTCTGTTGTGGCCCAGGAGCCTTTTCATTTTAAATATTTTATTTATTTTTGAGACGGAGTCTTACTCTGTTGTCCAGGCTGGAGTGCAGTGGTGCGATCTCAGCCTATCACAACCTCTGCCTCCTGGGTTCAAGCGATTCTCCTGCCTGAGCCTCCCGAGTAGCTGGGACTACAGGTGCATGCCACCACGCCTGGCTAATTTTTGTATTTTTAGTAGAAATGGGGTTTCACTATGTTGGCCAGGCTGGTCTTGAACTTCTGACCTTGTGATATGCCTGCCTTGGCCTCCCAAAGTCCTGGGATTACAAACGTGAGCCACCACTGCTCCCAGCCTTTTTTTTTTTTTTTTTTTTTTTTTGAGACACAGTCTTGCTCTGTCACCCAGGATGGAGTGCAATGGCATGATCTTGGCTCACTGCATTCTCTGCCTCCCGGGTTCAAGCAATTTTCCTGCCTCAGCTGCCCAAGTAGCTGGGATTACAGGCGCCTGCCACCATGCCTGTCTAATTTTTTGTATTTTTAGTAGAGATGGGGTTTCACCATGTTGGCCAGCCTGGTCTTGAACTCTGACCTCAGATGATCCACCCACCTCGGCCTCCCAAAGTGCTGGGATAACAGGTGCGAACCACCGTGCCCAGCTTTAAATATATATATGTATGTATATTCTTTTTTTTTTGAGATGGAGTTTCACTCTTGTTGCCCAGGCTGTAGTGCAATGGCACGATCTTGGCTCACTGTAACCTCCACCTCCCGGGTTCAAGTGATTTTCTTGCCTCAGCCTCCCGAGTAGCTGGGATTACAGGCATGCGCCACCACGCCTGGCTAATTTTATATTTTTAGTAGAGATGGGGTTTCTCCACATTGGTCAGGCTAGTCTTGAACTCCCGACCTCAGGTGACCCATCCACCTTGGCCTCCCAAAGTGCTGGGATTACAGGTGTGAGCCACCGCGCCTGGCCTAAACATATTTTTTATTGAGTATTCTCAGTTGGGAAATGGAAGGATTCATCAAAGAGAGGCACAACAGTACAGAAAGCCAATGGCTTCTTTTAGTTTTACTTTTGCAATCCTAAATGTTTGAGTTCTTTGCAAGGAAGGCAGTAGTTGAATAAAATGTAAGTTGTGAACACCATAGAAATCCTAGTAAAGCTGTAATTCTTCGTGTTGAAATATTTGGTATAATATCAAGTATAACCTCTTTGAAAAGTTCCAAAGATGCTTTTAGGGCTGAAATCCAACATTAATATCTAGGTTGGTAGCTCCCTTAAATTGGCATGTATGTGGTTCTTATCTTTAGCAGCATAGCTGACTTCCAGCTCCATCTTAGAGTCTTATGAGTCTGCATAGGGTCTGTCCTTGGAGATTTTTTAATAACTTTTAGAACTAACCACTGTCTGTAATCTTTCATAGTTTTATTGAACAGATATTTATTTATCATTTACTTTGGACCAGGTGCTATTTTGTACCAGGTCGTATTATTTCTAAGAACTTGAAAAATATTAAATCCGTTTAAATGTATAAACATCCCTGTGAGATTGGCACTATTGTTATCTCCATATTGTAGGTAAGGAAACCAAGACACAGAAGGTTAAATAGGTTACAGAAAAGGTTATGTAGCTAGCTTGAATGAGAAAAATCATGTTACTTAAAACTGTGCTATGAGTTTGGAGGGATAGTGGAATCTCTGAAGTCCCATAATGTTTTTTCTTTCTATTTAAGGTTTTGAAGTACAGGAAGAAGGTTATCTGGCAAAAATCCTGATCCCTGAAGGCACAAGAGATGTCCCTCTAGGAACCCCACTCTGTATCATTGTAGAAAAAGAGGCAGATATATCAGCATTTGCTGACTATAGGCCAACTGAAGTAACAGATTTAAAACCACAAGCACCACCACCTACCCCACCCCCGGTAGGTATGCTTCTAGAATTCAGGAAACACTTACCTAGTTTATCTCTAAATTAAGGAGTTTTGATTAGATGATATCCTAGGTTCCTTCCACCTCCAAGATTCTATGACTGAGGAGGGAGATAGTTGATTAACCTTTGTGGAGACCTATAGTGTTTGTTGTACTGCATTGTTCACCTAATGGTCGATAGTTTGGGCCTTGTAGCTTTTTTTTTTTCTGCCATCTAGAGTCCTGCTGAAAGCAAAGCTGACTGACATGCTCTCTTTCTGCTTTAGATGTAGATATCATGCTTGTGGAAAGTAAGGCTTCATTGCCCCAGCCCTTTTTTTTTTTTTTTTTAAAGAGACAAGGTCTCACCCTGTCACCAAGGCTGGAGTGCAGCGGTGCAGTCATAGCTCACTTCATTGCCCATTTTTTATTAAATATACTGAATAATCTGTCACTTGAAATCCTCTTGTTATTCACGTAGTAGGTCAAGCATATATTTCTGATACAATGGAACCTTGACATGACTTCTTTTGCATAGAATTTATTATATCACAAAATACTTTATAAACTATAACATGAACTTGCATTAACTCCAACCAGAGATAACACTGACAGTGAAGCTTCCGCAGATGCTAGAATCATGTGAGTTTAAGCTAGGTAAACATTTCTATAAGACAAAAGTTGATTTGTGACTGCTGTACATTTATGGGAAGCTGGCAAGTAGCATTGTTGTTATATTTCTTTTTTTTGTTTGTTTTGTTTTTTAATTGTTGTTGTTGTTGAGACGGATTCTCACTCCGTCGCCCAGGCTGGCTTACAGTGGCGCGATCTTGGCTCACCGCAGCCTATACCTCCCGGGTTCAAGCAATTCTCCTGCCTCAGCCTCCTGAGTAGCTGGGATTATAGGCACCAGCCACCATGCCTGGCTAATGTTTTTATTTTTAGTAGAGAAGGGGTTTCACCATGTTGGCCAGGCTGATCATGAACTCCTGACCTCAGGTGATCTGCCCACCTCAACCTCCCAAAGTGCTGGGATTACAGGTATGAGCCACTGCACCTGGCTATATTTTTAAAGATACTTTTCAACATGGGGCCTAACCGCATAATTTTATATTTTGAAATTAGCTGGCTGGGTGTGGTGGCCCACGCTGGTAATCCCAGCACTTTGGGAGGCCAAGACGGGTGGATCGCTTGAGGTCAGGAGTTTGAGACCAGCCTGGCCAACATGGTGAAACCCCATCTCTACTGAAAATACAAAAAATTAGCTGGGCGTGGTGGTGCATGTCTGTAATCCCAGCTACTTGGGAGGCTGAGACAGGAGAATTGCTTGAACCCAGGAGGTGGAGGTTGCAGTGACTGCACTCCAGCCTGGGTGACAGAGCAAGACTCTGTCTCAAAAAAATAAAGAAGTTAGGATAATTAAAAATAAAAATCATGTTGGTGATGTAAAAGAATGCAAATAAAGAAGTGGTAAGAGATTAAAGTGAAGAAAGGCCATAGGATACTATACACTGATTGGCAATATTCAATTCTGTGCTTCTTCGTGTTGTTATGGAATAAAGTAACTTTGTTCTGTCTTTGACATAGAAATATATTGTTCTTGCTGTTCATATTACTACATTATGTTGGTTAAACTGGAGCAAAGTACATTATGATCTTTGGAAAAAAGATGAAAGTTATTAATATTTAATTAAAATAGTTTTAATTTATTAATGAGATGTAAACTTTTAATCTTTCAGACCAGTCTTTGAAGTGGTGAATTAAAACAATTTGTAATTTTTTTCAAAAGGTGGCCACTGTTCCTCCAACTCCCCAGCCTTTAGTTCCTACACCTTCAGCACCCTGCCCAGCTACTCCTGCTGGACCAAAGGGAAGGGTGTTTGTTAGCCCTCTTGCAAAGAAGTTGGCAGTAGAGAAAGGGATTGATCTTACGCAAGTAAAAGGTAAATCTGTTTCTATGGAATGGAGTTATAAAGTTAAAATTTAGTTGAATTTCCTCCTTAAGACTTGCAAGTACAACTATATATAGCCATACTTATAACTGGGATAGTAGGGACAACTGTTAATAATTACATCAGAAGGGAGAAATAGTTCTTTTGTTGCCACCACAGAGTAGGGAAACTTTTACTGAGCTTAATTTACTTTGCCTAGAACCTACCCATATACTTTAGATACCTTTTTTTTCCCTCTTCTCTTCATGGAAACTACTTGTTTGAAAGTGTATGTACTTGTTCAGCAAAATTGGGTTATGGGACTTGATTGTGTAATAAGAAACCTCTGTTAGTGCTAGGTTGACTGTAGTAATAAGCAAAGCAAAATAAAATTTGAAATTGGGGTGATTTGGAATGACTTAAAATAATAAACTTCATATAAAACAGAACTAGAGCTCCCTGAAGGCAAGGGAAAATGCCTTACTTGTCTGTCTGTCCCCAAAGAAAAAATAAAGCTTTGTGATAAGAGCATGGGGCCTGGAATCAGACCACCTAGCGTTTCCTCCTGGCTTTATAATTTTTTTTGTAATCTGTTTTCCAGTGAATTACATAAATTGTATGTCCTTATGTCAATTACTTTTCTAGCCGTAAAACCGAGGTATTGTACATCATATAGATGGTGAGAGTTAAATGAGCTATAACAGGTGAAGTGCTTAGAACTGTATCTAGCATATAAGTACTCAATACATGTTTGTTGTCATTCATATTGATATTATTGCCTGGCACTTAAGTAAGTTTTTTTAATTAAACCTAAGCTAAAATTTAGTGTAGGATAACTAAGGTTCTTATTTGGAAAAGGAAGTTATTATTCTTGGAACTTGGTTTGATGGCTAGTACTATGTGCCAGTCATTTAACTTACCATACTTAATGTACACAACACTTCTTGAAGTAAGAATTATCATTCCCTATTTTCTGGATAAGAAAACAGACTGTCAGACTCTTCAGGGTTCTTCTTTCCTGTTAAATAGTAAAGTTGCAGTGTGACTCTAGATTTGTTTAACTCTAAAGCCTGTTTCTTCACACTACCCTATCCTGCCTTCCATTTTGATGCTCTGCCATCCATAATTACTAAAGAAAAATATGCTTATTTCCCCAATTGTCTAGTTATGGGTGCTCAGTGGTGGTTATCTCCTATCTGCAATTTGCTGTCTTATAGTTAGAAGGCAAGCCAATCCCAAGACACAAGAGTGGAATGTTGTAAAGTTTTTGGACTTTAGAGATTCTTATAATATTGGAAGACTCTTTTTTTTCCATCTTAATGCCATTTCAGTAGTATATTGCTACTGTATATTGCTAGTAGTATATTGCTACATTCTTTATGTATATATGATTAGAATCAGGGACAGCAGTGTAAGTTGGAATAACTTTTAAAGGGGTAGAAAGGACTGGGTTAATAATTATATCTAAAGAATTTAGACAAGCAAAGAAGGACCATTTATTAGATATTAAGCAATACTGGTTACCTTACCAAAGATATAAGTGGAAAATCCCTTAGGTATGAGCTGAGGAGGAGTGTTAAGAAAAAAAAAGAAGGAAAGAAAATCCCGCTATTCTTACTATGCAGGCAGAGTTAGGTGGTAAATACCATCGAATACTATCTACGCATCAGACACTTGTTCATCAGATGGGTAAGATTTCAGTTTCAGTTGCTTATATGACTAACAGTAAAGAATTAAATGAACAGAAAGGGAGTATAGCATAGTAGTTAAAAGTGTGAGCTCTGTAGCTGGAATGCTTGGGTGTGAACCTCAGCTCTTTACACTAGCTGTGTGACCTTTTGTGTCAGTTTCTATATAAAAACAATAGGTTTAATGGTTGTGAGGTTTAAATAAGTTAACCAGTGCCTGTACAGAGAAAGCATATCTAGGTATTAGCTATAATGATAATATTTTTGTTAATAAGATGATTTAAGTGCTAAGAAAGAAAGAAACTCAGTGATATACTAGTGAGTGAAAGGGTGGATGGATATATGTGCAGTCATGACTACTTTTAGACAGGGTGGTTGGGAGATCTTTTTGATGAGGTAACATTTGATTTGATCTGAAAGATCAGAAGGAGGCGGTTTGAGCTAACCATGTGAAGAACTGGGGAAAGATCATTTTAGATAGAGAGACTAGCTCTACACAGTCCGAAATGGGAAAGAGTTTAGCGTGTCTGAGGAACATAAAAGAGGCCAGTGTTGGCTGGGCGTGGTGGCTCACGCCTGTAATCCCAGCACTTTGGGAGGCCGAGGCAGGCAGATCATAAGGTCAGGAGATGGAGACCATCCTGGCTAACACAGTGAAACCTCGTCTCTACTAAAAATACAAAAAAAATTAGCCGGGCACAGTGGCAGGCACCTGTGGTCCCAGCTACTCAGGAAGCTGAGGCAGGAGAATGGTGTGAACCCTGGAGGCTGAGCTTGCAGTGAGCTGAGATCATGCCACTGCACTCCAGCCTGTGCGACAGAGTGAGACTCCATCTCAAAGAAAAAAAAAAAACAGAGGCCAGTGTTAATGAAACATAATGAGCAAAGGGTCTAGTAGGAAACGAGACTGGAAAAAAACAGGGATGCGAACATACATGATCTTATAGATTATGGTAAAGAGTTTGAATTTTATTTAAAGTACTTGGGGAAGCCATTGAGAAATTTAAGCAAGGAAGTGAAATAAAATGATTGTGTTTTAAAAAGATCATTTTGGTTGCTCTATGGCAATGGATGAAACATTTATCTAGTTTATGTTTGACAAAATCCCTACTTTTTTTACCCATAGCCCAGTGTTCTTCCCTTTATACCGTATTGCTTTATGATGGCCTGTTGTGCCGCCCTAGAGAGATAGAGAAAAGGGTTGAAAAGGTTTCAACTAACGCCTAAGTCAGGAAATGCTTGTGGGTGGCAGAAGCTTAGCATAAGGCAGGCAGTACTATGGATTCCCTCCTCCTGAGGGGCTGTGGTGTCTAGATCAGCCTTGGTTGTAAGGGGAGGTTATGGTTTCTGTCTTTTATAAAGGAGAGAAATCTAACAGGGGTACTACTACCTCTGTTCTAGAGCTCCTGGTGAGAATAAATACAATCCTAGCCAACTCAGTTTTTGTAATGAAGGAAAGGACTTGGGAAGAACTACACACAACAAGAGTCCTTTTTAAAGTCTGTCTTGGGGGAAGATGAATCAATTTGACCAAATTTTTTCCTAGAAGTGGGCCAGTGTAAAAAGTATTATATAATAATAACTAAATTCTGAATCTCCTTAGAATTAAAGGTCAAGATTATCTACTTGGGTCCAAAATTAAACCTAAGAGGCTGTAGGTGGAAGGAAGGAGGAAATTGAATATAAGTAAAATTAAACCTACTGAGAGAACTTTGAAGATCCTTCCTCATGTGTGACATTGCACCTTTTCCCTTCATTTCCTTTAACCTGGGCCAGTTTAGAGCCTTGGCTACTGTGAAAAAGCTATGAATTATAGAGACCACATAAGGAATGAATGATTCTAAAGATGAGATAATCGCAGATAGGAGTTATTCATGCTATTTTGGGTTGAAAAAATTGATTTGCCAAAACAATTATTGTTATACCTGTAAATTCTGTACAAAAGGAATTCTTTATGGTCACGTAAATCCAGAAGACCCAAATGAGATCTATGATCTATTTCATGGCTCAGGAATGGTTTTTTGGAGCTAACCAGGAGGAGGCAGTTAGTTTCCCTTTTGGAGATATAAACGGTGCTCGGCATTATCTTCATGCCAGCATTTCCCAATTTAAAAGTAAGGAAGATGAAAAAAATTAAGTACAACTTGGATAAAACTCTAAAAGAGAAATACATAAAGGAATATTTGCAATAGTTAAAAAGAAAAGACCCACTCCAGAACACACACTGGTACTCTGTGTGGATTAAAATTAATAGTTGACAAAAGCTGGTATTCGTAGGGAGAACCTTAAGGGTTAGGGTTAAGGCTGTGATCCTTTCAGAATGTTTTTGGTAGTAAACCCTTAGGCGCTTGCAGTTTAGGATCACAGTGTTGATCTCCTTGGGGAACCAATGGTACGCCGTCATGTATGTGATATTTATGTCTCTTACAGGGACAGGACCAGATGGTAGAATCACCAAGAAGGATATTGACTCTTTTGTGCCTAGTAAAGCTGCTCCTGTGAGTTATGTGTAGCTCTTACTTTTTTTGCAGTTAGTCTCTGCAGCCTGTTAGACTATTTCATACATTATTTATGAATGAAATAGCTCAACCAAGACTGTTTTCTTCTAACTTCAGTGGTTTAATAATACAGTCATCCCTCAGTACCCATAAGAGGTTGGTTCCAGGAGCCCCCTTGTATACCAAAATTCACAAATACCTAAGTCTCTTATATAAAATAGTGTAGTATTTGTATATAACTTACCCACATCCTCTCAAATACTTTAAATCATCTCTAGATTACTTATAATATTAAATACAAGGTAAATGTGTAAATAGTTGTATTTTATTGCTTAGGAAATAACAAGGACAAAAAGTCTGTACTTGTGCAGTACAGATGTAACCATCTTTTTTTTCCTGGAATATTTTTGATTTGCCTTTGGTTGAATCCAGTGATGAAGAACTTATGGATACGGAGGGCCAAGTGTATTTAGATATTTGTGTGCTATCATTTATATACAAAATCAAAGATGATATACTACCTTGACACATATTCCACATTATGTTTTGAGCTAGTTAATCAGTTTTTGCTTTGAAAAAATTTGTTCTTTTTTTCTGTTTCAAAATATTTTAAAGTACAGTTAAATGAGTTGTTTTTGGTGTTTGGTTTTTTTGTATGTTTGTTTTTGAGACAGTCTCACTGTCGCCCAAGCTGGAGTGCAGTGGCACTATCTTAGCTCATTGCAACCTCCGCCTCCTGGATTCAGGCGATTCTCGTGACTCAGCCTCCCAAGTAGCTGGGACTACAGGTGCATGCCACCACACCTGTCTAATTTTGGTATGTTTAGTACAGACAGGGTTTTGCCATATTGGCCAGGCTGGTCACGAACTCCTGGCCTCAAGTAAGCCATCGTGTCCAGCCCCCATCCCCATTTTTTAACATTGTTTAGGATAATGGATTAACTTGTTTATATTTATTTATTATTCCTTGTGATTTAAGAATGCTTCGATTGCTTTTCTTGAACATAATTTTGCAAAAACAAAATTATTTTGACATAAACTGGTCATTGAACATACTCTGACACAAAGAAAAATGACATTTAAAATATGATTTCAGAATTCTAAGTAAAAAAATTAAAACTCTTAAAACAAGCAGAAGTCTCTTTTGCTCGCTGGGGACAGAAATAGCTATTGTATAAAGCTTAGTTTTTAGACTGGCCATGGTGGCTCATGCTTGTAAACCCAGCACTTTGGGAAGCCAAGGTGAGTGGATCACTTGAGCCCAGGCATTTGAGACCAGTCAGGGCAACATGGCTAATTTCCATCTCTACTAAAAATACAAAAAAATTAGCTGGGCATGGTGGCGTGCACCTGTATTCCCAGTTACTCTAGGGGCTGAGATGGGGGGACTGCTTGAGCTCAGGAGGTTGAGGCTACAGTGAACCATGATTGAGCCACTGCATTCCAGCCTGGGTGACAGAGCAAGACCCTGTCTCCAAAAAAAAAAAAATCTGCATAGTCACTGGCAGTCTTTCCCAGGTACTTATGCTAATTGAGCCATAGTTACTGAGAACTTTTTCTTTCCTCCCATAGGCTCCAGCAGCTGTTGTGCCTCCCACAGGTCCTGGAATGGCACCAGTTCCTACAGGTGTCTTCACAGATATCCCAATTAGCAACATTCGTCGGGTAAGAGAATTACCATCATCTGGAATCAGCTATTAGGGGCATCTTTACTCTAGTTGTTTAGTTGCTTCCGTAGTTTTAACACATTAACAGAGGCTTTTTAAGTTGGGAATATTAGATGATTACTTTAAGGGAAGTTTTGGCCAGCTGAATACTTGAATCCATTTGTTCTATTAGAAGGGCCAGGCGCAGTGGCTCACGCCTGTAATCCCAGCATTTTGGAAGGCCAAGGCAGGTGGAACACAAGGTCTGGACTTCGAGACCAACCTGGCCAACATAGTGAAACCCCGTCTCTACTAAAAATACAAAAATTAGCTGGGCATGGTGGCGCACGCCTGTAGTCCCAGCTACTCGGGAGGCTGAGGCAGGAGAATTGCTTGAACCCGGGAAGTGGAGGTTGTGGTGAGCCGAGATCGCACCACTGCACTCCAGCCTAGGCAGCAGAGCGAGACTCCATCTCAAAAAAAAAAAAAACAAAAACCTAGGAGGTGTTATATTATGGCGGAGTCCTCCGTCTTTCAATTATAATAATGCTTGAGGTAAGTATTACCAGAGAGTAAGGTGAAGAGACAAACAGAGCCCTGAATTAGTTAAGATCTTAACTCAAGATAATTGATTTTTTTTAAATCTCTTTGGTTTCAGGTTATTGCACAGCGATTAATGCAATCAAAGCAAACCATACCTCATTATTACCTTTCTATAGATGTAAATATGGGAGAAGTTTTGTTGGTACGGAAAGAACTTAATAAGGTAAAAGGTCTGAAAATTCCAACTTTCTAAGTTACAAAATTTTATCTTTCCCCACCAAACATTTATATTTTTGTCCATATATTTTGTTACAGTATGCCAGCTGGTGTTTACTTTCTTGATCTTGTCCTTTGAAGCGCAAGATTTTAAATATTGGTTATGTCCACTTTATCTATTTTTTTCTTCTGTGCTTTTGGTATTATATCTAAGAAACTATTACCTAGTCTAAGGTCATAAAGATTTATACTTATGTTTCCTTGTAACAGTTTTATAGTTCTAGTTCTTATATAGGTCTTCGCTGTATTTTGAGTTAATTTTTTGTAGGTAGTGTGAGATAGGAATCTAACTTCATTGTTTTGCATGTGGACATTTATTCTTTCATCCCAGCACCATCTTTCCCCATCGAATTATCTTGGTATCCTTGTCAAAATTAATCATATATGTGAGAATTTTATTTCCAGATTTTTTTTTTTTTGATCTTGTTATTTTTTGTTTTGTTTTCTTTTATTATACTTTAAATTCTGGGATACATGTGCAGAATGTGCAGGTTTGTTCCATAGGTATACACGTGCCATGGTGGTTTGCTGCACCCATCAGCCCGTCACCTACATCAGGTATTTCTGCTAATGCTATCCCTCCCCTAGCCCCTCGTCCCCCTATAGGTCCTGGTGTGTGATGTTTCTCTCCCTGCGTCCATGTGTTCTCATTGTTCAACTCGCACTTACAGTGAGAACATGCGGTGTTTGGTTTTCTGTTCCTGTGTTAGTTTGCTGAGAATGATGGTTTCCAGCTTCATCCATGTCCCTGTAAAAAAGGACGTGAACTCATCCTTTTTTAATGGCTGCATAGTATTCCATGGTGTATATGTGCCACATTTTCTTTATCCAGCATATCATTGGTGGGCATTTGGGTTGGTTCCAAGTCTTCGTTATTGTGAACAGTGCTGCAGTAAACATATGTGTACATGTGTCTTTATAGTAGAATAATTTATAATCCTTTGAGTCTATACCCAGTAATGGGATTTCTGGGTCAAATGGTATTTCTGGTTTCGATGGTTGAGGAATCGCCACACTGTCTTCCACAATGGTTGAACTAATTTACACTCCTACCAACAGTGTAAAAGTGTTCCTGTTTCTCCACATTCTCTCCAGCATCTGTTGTTTCCTGATGTTTTAATGATCGCCATTCTGACTGGTGTGAGATGGTATTTCATTGTGTTTTTGATTTGCATTTCTCTAATGACCAGTGATGATGAGCTTTTTTTCATGTTTGTTGGCTGCATAAATGTCTTTTTTTGAGAAGTGTCTGTTCATATCCTTTGCCCACTTTTTGATGGGGTCGTTTGTTTTCTTCTTGTAAATTTAAGTTCCTTGTAGATTCTGGATATTAGCCCTTTGTCAGATGGATAGATTGCAAAAATTGTCTCCCATTCTGTAGGTTGCCTGTTCACTCTGATGATAGTTTATTTTGCTGTGCAGAACTTCTTTAGTTTAATTCGACCCATTTGTCAATTTTGGCTTTTGTTGCCATTGCTTTTGGTGTTCTGGTCATGAAGTCTTTGCCAGTGTCTATGTCCTGAATGATATTGCCTAGGTTTTCTTCTAGGGTTTTTATGGTTTTAGGTCTTACGTTTAAGTCTAATCCATCTTGAGTTAATTTTTGTATAAGGTGTAAGGAAGGGGTCCAGTTTCAGTTTTCTACATATGGCTAGCCACTTTTCCCAACACCGTTTATTAAATAGGGAATCCTTTACCCATTTCTTGTTTTTGTAGGTTTGTCAAAAATCAGATGGTTGTAGATGTGTGGCAATATGTCTGAGGCCTCTGTTCTGTTCTGTTCCATTGATCTATATATCTGTTTTGGTACCAGTACCATGCTGTTTTTGTTACTGTAGCCTTGTAGTGTAGTTTGAAGTCAGGTAGCATGATGCCTCCAGCTTTGTTCTTTTTGCTTAGGATTGTCTTGGTTATATGGACCCTCTTTTGGTTCCATATGAAATTTAAAGTAGTTTTTTTCTAATTCTGTGAAGAAAGTCAATGGTTGCTTGATGAGGATAGCTATGAATTTATAAATTACTTTGGGCAGTATGGCCATTTTCATGATACTGATTCTTATCTGTGAGCATGGAATGTTTCTCCATTTGTTTTTGTGTTCTCTCATTTCCTTGAGCAGTGGTTTGTAGTTCTTGAAGAGGTCCTTCACATCCCTTGTAAGTTGTATTCCTAGGTTTCTGGTTTCTTTCATCCCAGCACCATCTTTCCCCATTGAATTATCTTGGTATCCTTGTCAAAATTAATTCTAGGTATTCTGTTCTCTTTGTAGCAGTTGTGAATGGGAGTTCACTCATGATTTGGCTGTTTGTCTGTTATTGGTGTATAGCAGTGCTTGTGATTTTTTCACATTGATTTTGTGTCCTGAGACTGCTGAAGTTGCTTATTAGCTCAAGGAGATTTTGGGCTGAGACGATGGAGTTTTCTAACTATACAATCATGTCATCTACAAACAGAGACAATTTGACTTCTTCTCTTTCTATTTGAATACTCTTTATTTCTTTCTCTTGCCTGATTGCCCTGGCCAGAACTTCCAATACTGTGTTGAATACGAGTGGTGAGGGGGAGAGCATCCTTGTCTTGTGCCGATTTTTGAGACGGAGTCTCACTCTGCCCAGACTGGGGTGCAGTGGCATGATCTTGGCTCACTGCAACCTCCGCCTTCCAGGTTCAAGCAATTCTCGTGCCTCAGCCTCCCAAGTAGCTGGGATTACAGGCATGAGCCACCATGCCTGGCTAATTTTTGTACTTTTAGTAGAGACAGGATTTCACCATGTTGGCCAGGTTGGTCTCGAACTCCTGACCTCAAGTGATCTACCCACCTCGGCCTCCCAAAGTTTGGGATTACAGCCATGAGCCACTGTGCCTGGCCTATTTCCAGATTCTTAATTCCATTCCATTAATCTCTATATACCCTTATGCCAGTACCGTAGTCTTGATTAGTTTAGCTTTGTAATGAGTTGTAAAATCAGGAAATGTGAGTCGTCTTTGTTCTTTTTTCTCAAGATTGTTTTGTCTGAGTGCCTTGCAATTGTAAATGAATTTTAGGATTAGCTTGTAAATTTCTGCATTGAAGCCAGTTAACATTTTGATAAGGATTGATTGGATGTGTCTGCTGATCAATTTGGCAAGTGTTGCCATCCAAAGAATACTCTCATTTCATCCATGAACATGTAGATGCCCCTGTATTTAGTTGAGTGTTCTTCAGTCTCTTTTAACAATTTTTTAATAGTTTTTCAGAGTGTAAGTTTTGCACTCTAAATTTGCATTTGTTAAACTTATTCCTAGGTATTTTATTCTTTTTAATATTACTCTAAGTGGAATTGTTTTCTAAATTTCATTTTCAGATTATTCATTGCTACTATATAAAGGTGTGATTGTTTTTTTTTTAAGACTAGTGAGCTATACTAGTGAGAAGTGGGGAAAGAGTAGAAAAGGAGTTATATGTATAACTGACTCTGAGCAAGCAATCGAGATAACAATTGATTTTTCTATATTGATCTTTCTTTTCGTATGCGTGCTGGAATGGGATCCATATTGACCTTGTATCCTGCAAACTTGCTGACGTTCTTACAGTTTTTTAGTGTATTTATTAGGATTTTCTGTAAAAAAGATAATGTTATCTGCAAATAGAGATAATTGTACTTTTTCTGTTTTGACCTGTATGCCTTTTATTTCCTTTCTTGCCTAATTACTCTGGCTGGCACCTCTAGCCAATGTTGAATAGATGTAGCAGAAGTGGACATCTCGTCTTGTTCTTGATCTTTGGGAGAATAAGTCTTTGATCATTAAATAGTTGTGAGGTTTCCCTAGATCAGGTTGAGCAAGTTCCTTCCGGTTCCTAGTTAGTAAGTGTGTTTTGATCTTGAAAAGGGGTATTGAATTTTATCAAATGTGAATTTTATCAAATGCTTTTTCTGTGTCTGTTGAGATGGTTGTGTGTTTTTTGTCCTGTATTCTATTAGGACATTATTACATTAATTGATTTTCAGATGTTAATGGAAATTTGCATTCTTGGGATAAATCACATTTGATCATGGTAAATGATCCTTTTTGTATATTGCTGGATTTTATTTGCTAGTGTTTTGCTGAAGATTTTTACATCTATATTCGTAAGAGATTATTGTAGTTTTGTTTTTTTTTTTTCTTCTAATGTCGTCTTTGGTTTTGGTATCAGGCTAATACCGGCCTTATAGAATGTGTGGGGAAGTGTTTCTTGCTCTTCTTTGATTTTTCTTTAAAAGAATTTGTGAGGAATTGATATTAATTCTTGTTTAATGTTTGGTGGAATACTGATGAAGGTGTTTGGGTCTAAGCTTTTCTACGTGGGTAGTTTTTAAATTACCAGTTAAATCTCTTTGTTAGTCTTAGGTCTGTTCGGAGTTTTTGTTTCTCCTTGGTTCAGTTTTGGTAGCTTATGTCTGTATGGTCGTTCACAGTATTCCCTATAATTCTTTTTACTTCTGTAAGGTAGATAGTAATGTCCCCTATTTCACTCCTAATTTTAGGAATTCTGGTCTTCTCTCCTCTTCTTGGTCAGTCTAACTAAACATTTATCATTGTGGTTGTCATTTGGTTGATCTTTTCAAAGAACCAAATTTTGTTATTGTTGAGATGAATGAAAATGATGACATAATATACCGTAACTTATGGGATATGCTAAAGCAGTACTTACCAGAAAACAGCTGTAAGAGTCTGCATTTAAAAAGATGAAGGAACCAATATTTGGTTTCATTTCTTTCTTTCTACCTCAGGGTATTTGTATATTCTCTTTCTCCTCCTCCTTTTCTCAAGATTATACAGTTTTACTCTTTGGTGAGAGAATTTAGAAACTACAGTTGTCCGGGGAGGGAGAGCATTAGGAAAAATAGCTAATGCATGTGAGGCCTAATACCTAGGTGATGGGTTGACAGGTGCAACAAACCACCATGGCACATGTTTACCTATATAATAAACTTGTACATCCTGTACATGTACCCTGAAACTTAAAATTAAAATTTTTTTTAAAAAAAGGAAACTACAGTTGTTCTTGTCTTTCCAGATTTTAGAAGGGAGAAGCAAAATTTCTGTCAATGACTTCATCATAAAAGCTTCAGCTTTGGCATGTTTAAAAGTTCCCGAAGCAAATTCTTCTTGGATGGACACAGTTATAAGACAGTAAGTATAACTGGGGACGATATATATCCATCACTAGTTTTCTTATATTATTTAGTGTGTGAATAGGAGTTGAGGGGATAAGGATAAATGGAATACAGAGAGGCAGATCGCTTACATAGGTCAAACAACTTGAAAACAACACAAAAATATTTATGAGATACTGCTTTTTACTTTTTTTCCTTTCTGGCTCTAATTTTCAACCTTGTTTTTGTTGTTGTTGTTTTTTATTTATTTTTTAAAGAGACAGGGTCTTGCTCTGTTGTCCAGGCTGGTCTTGAACTCTTGGGGTCAAGCAGTTCTACAGCCTTAGCCTCCCAAAGTTCTGGGATTTCAGGTGTGAGCCACTGTGCCCAGCCTGAGATACTGCTGGATTTAGCTTGTAAAGGCTATAGATTCTTTGTATGAGTTCAGCAAAGGGAGATTAGTGAACAAATACGTGTAATTAAGTTGATAATGACTGTCACAAAGTAGGGTTAAATAGATGATTTTCATTCACCCATGAGTTCTCCTGAGCTTCAGGGGCAAAATTAAAACGAGTACTTGTTAATATTATGATGGTATAGAGTAGTATGGTACTCATTGTGTCTCTTTTATCTCATTTAATTCTCATGACCACCTTATGATTTAAGTGCTTTCACTTCCATCTCTAGATGAAGAAACTGAGGCTCAGTGAGTTAAGTAACTTGCCCGAGTTAGTAAGTTAGTGTTAAGACTGTGATTAGAACTAAGATTCTGACTCCTAAGCCTATTCATTTTCTAATGTGTAGACGCTTTTATGTTATTCTTATTCTGAAAGGAAACAAACAAACTTTTTTCCTTTTACTCTACTGTCACATAGTTACAGCACCAATTCTGTGACCAGATGAGTAGAGGCAGGGGTGGGGAGGGTTTCCCCACACACCAGCCAAGCAATGAATTCTGCAGTGAATTCCTCTAATTCAATTACATTCAATTTTGGTGCTGTCTACCTGTAGATAGTGTCAGATACCAAAGATTGAGGGCTCAGTCCTACAAGACTGCCCTCACTTCGGATGCCAGTCAAAAGTGTAGGCCACTCATACTTGTAACTGACTGGCTACAAACTGGTTCCTGTGACCTCTGTCTTGGGTTTGATTAACTTGCTAGGACAATTCACAGAATTTGGGGAAACACTTATGTTTATTATAAAGGATATTGCAAAGGATACGGGTGAACACCAGATGAAGAGATGGCTAGGGCGAGGTATGAGGTGGGGTGGTGCAGAGCTTCCGTATCCTCTCTGGGCATACCACCCTTCCAATACTTCCACAGTTCAGCAACTGGAAGCTCATTAAATCTTGTTGAAGAGTCTTGATAGAGGGGGCTGGGGAGAAAAAGGAAAGGGGAAAAAAAAGTCTTTGTAGAGCTTGATCTCCAGAATCTCCAACCTATATCTCCCTCACCTTTCCCTTAGGTCAGTAGGTAGAGCTAAAAGTTCCAACTCTCTAATCCTCTAGTCATTTTGACCCTTCTAGTGACTGGCCCCATCCCGAGGTTACGCAGGGATCCTGCCCTAAATATCCATCATGGAGCTTATTATATAAGGGGCTCATTATAAATAACAAAAGATACTCCTATCACTCAGGAAATTCCGGTTTTAGGGTCTCTATGACAGGAACTGGCAACATGGGAACAAAGACCCAAGTATATATTATACCACACTTACTAATATTTGTTCATATTTTAGGGCCGGGCTCACACCTGTAGTCTCAGCACTTTGAGAGGCCGAGGCGGGTGGATCACTTGAGGTCAGGAGTTCAAGACCAGCCTGGCCAACATGATGAAACCCTGTCTCTAGTAAAAATACAAAAATTAGCTGGGTCCCGTGGTGGTGCGTGCCTGTAATCTTAGCTACTTGGGAAACTGAGGCAGGAGAATTGCTTGAACCCAGGAAGCAGAGGTTGCAGTGAGCTGAGATTGTGCCATTGCAGTCCAGTCTGGGTGATGAGAGCAAAAGTCTACCTCAAAAAAAAATTTTTTTAATATTAAATTTAGGTTGGAATACTGTTCCCTTAATAAGAGGTCAGTTCCCAGGAGGCAAACACAACGGTTTTTTGTTTTTTTTTTTTGGGAGACAGAGTCTCTCTCTGTCACCTAGGCTAGAGTGCAGTGGCACGATCTTGGCTCACTGCAACCTCCGCCTCCTGGGTTCAAGCAATTCTCCTACCTCAGCCTCCCGAGTAGCTGGGATTACAGATATGAGTCACCACTCCCAGGTAATTTTTTTGTATTTTTAGTAGAGATGGGGTTTCACCATATTGGCCAGGCTGTTCTTGAACTCCTGACCTTGTGATCTGCCACCTTGGCCTCCCAAAGTGCTGGGATCACAGGCGTGAGCTACCACGCCTGGCCCTTAAACACAACTTTTCAACTATTGTTTATTCCGGTATTTATTTACCTGCAGATATCCAAATATTTTTCTGTTGCCTTTTATGAGTTTTTCATTTATTTTATTGACTGACTTCCTGTTAAAGAACATTAATATTTAGCTTTAGCCCCAGTCTTGGGACTAGAGAGAAAAAAAGGTAGCTTTGTTATGCCCTTCCTACATACACACACATAACATCATCCTCCCAAATTGATTATAGCACAAATAATCCATATTTGGGGCCGGGCAAGGTGGCTCCCACCTGTAATTCCAGCACTTTGGGAGGCCAAGGCAGGTGGATCACCTGAGGTCAGGAGTTTGAAATTAGCCTGGCCAACATGGCGAAACCCTGTCTCTGCTAAAAATACAAAAAAGAAAAAATTAGCCAGGTGTGGTAGTGCACGTCTGTAGTCCCAGCTAATCGCGAGGATGAGGCAGGAGAATTGCTCGAACCTGGGAGGTGGAGGTTGCAGTGAGCCAGGATCGCGCCACTGCACTCCAGCCTGTGTGAGAGTGAGACTGCATTTCAAAAAATAATAACAAATAAATATAAATCTATATTTGGTTAACCTTTTTTTTTTTTTTTTTTGAGACGGAGTCTTGCTCTGTCCCCCAGGCTGGAGTGCAGTGGCGCGATCTCAGCTCACTGCAAGCTCCGCCTCCTGGGTTCATGCCGAGTAGCTGGGATTACAGGTGCCCGCCAAACACCCGGCTAATTTTTTTTTGTATTTTTAGTAGAGACCAGGTTTCACCGTGTTAGCCAGGATGGTCTCCATCTCCTGACCTTGTGATCTGCCCGCCTCGGCCTCCCAAAGTGCTAGGATTACAGGCTTGAGCCACTGCGCCCGGCCTGGTTAATCTTTTTAGAGTATGTGTGTGTCCAGTGTTAATGTTTGTATGCCTATGAAAATAATTGTGTATGACTAAGACATGTATTATACCATGAATGCTAACCTAATTGATTTTAATAATTGCTTAGGGAAGGCTAGTTTTCTATGTACATGTGAATTCTTTCTGAAACTCCACAAGCTAGGAGGGGAGTTTCAGAAACCATTAAACCATTTCTTAATCTGATCAAACCTATTGGGTAAACTCTTGGTTCTAACTTTTCCTTGGTCATTCTTCTCTTGGAGAACATCTGGGCATATAATATTCTTCATAAACTGTATAGTTTTCTAGGGCTTCCATTATTAATGACCACAAAATTGATGGATTAAAACAAATTTATTCTCTCACAGTTCTGGAAACAAGTCTGAAATCAGGGTTTCAGCAGGGGCAATGCATTCCCTCCAAAGACTATAGAGAAGAATCCTTCCTTGCCTTTTCCAGTTCTAGTGGCTCTAGGCATTTAGTGGTTTGTGATTGCATAACTCCAGTCTCTTCTTCCATCTTTACATGGCCTTCTCCTCTGTGTCTGTATTTTCTCTTCTCTTAAGAGGACAGTTGGCATTGGATTTAGGGTCACTCAGATAATACAGGATGATCTTATCTCAGGATCCTAATTATACCTCCAGAGACCTTTTTCCAAATAAGGTCACATTGATAGATTCCAGGGATTAGGACAAAGACTTATCTTTTGGAGGGCCACCATTCAGCCCACTAAACAGATTTTAAATTAGTCTTCCTGTTTTCAGCATTATTCATATTACTGACTCACGGAGAGTTTTCTGGAGCCTGGCAGAAATAGCTTGCTTAAGGCATTGACAGTCTTCTGTAATTCATTGAAAGCCTATTTTTAACTATTGTACCTCTCTAAACCCCTCTTCCTGTGCCATTCTGAGTTAGCCACTGTTACTGAACATACCTTTCAGTTATCTCCTTTCCGGATGCTGTTTGGGCTTTCCTGTTCCTTGCTTTTAGATGCATTCATTTTCCATGCTATGGCCACTATGATGATTGTCACAGCAGCAAACATTCAAGGAATTTATATTCCTTAAATATAAATACAGGATACTTAGAATCTAGATAGAGGCAAGAATTTTTTTTTTTTTTTTAATATTCCTTTAATTCCCCTCTCTGCCAGCATATAGACACTTTTTTTTTTTTTTTTTTTGAGGTAGAGTCTTACTCTGTTGCCAGGCTGGAGTACAGTGGTGCTATCTCGGCTCACTGCAACCTCCGCCTTCCAGGTTCAAGCGATTCTCCTGCCTCAGCCTCCTGAGTAGCTGGAACTATAGGCACACGCCACCACACCCAGCTAATTCTTGTATTTTTAGTAGAGATGGGATTTCACCGTGTTGGCCGGGATGGTCTCAATCTCTTGACCTCGTGATCTGCCTGCCTCAGCCTCCCAAAGTGCTGGGATTATGGCATGAGCCATTGTGCCTGGCCGCATGTTGACACTTTTTAACACTTTAATTTGCCATCTTACATATCATAAAATGTACCTGCTCTAAGTGTACAATTTCTTGATTTTTATTGAAGGTACAGAATTATGCAGTCTTTACCACAATCTTATTTTAGAAATTTCCATCACCCCCAGAAGATCACTCATGCTCATTTATAGTAAATTCTTATTTTCACCTTCAGCCCTTGGGCAATCTGTTCTAGTGCTTGAATCTATAGATTTGTATTTTCTAGACCTTTTATAGAAATGGAATCATAGGCCAGGTGT